GCTCCGAGATAGTGGGTTCTCTTGGGTCGGACGAAGGCCCCCCGAGAGGGCCGCCTTGGACAAAAACTTAAGAAAAATGCTTTACTGAAAGTGGCATGATTTCTTGGTTGCTTTTCTTGTTTTAATATTCTCGCGAAGTGCTTGAAGTGATCTGCATTCAGCAGACCTTACATGCCTTGAGTCATCTTGAATTTATGTGCAGTCATGTGCTCAAGCAGAGCAAAATTTTCTGTCGGGGCCCCCTCTAGAGGCTTGTCTGCTGTGCTAAGAGGCTCCAGGTGCTAATCCGGTGCTGCCATTAGGGCTCCGTGCAAGCCGGCCTGCGACGGCCGGCGGATGGAAGACGATCCAGAGGCTGAGGTGTCTTCCTTAGCTTCTACTGCCTCTTCCAGTGGCCGCAGTCGTGTGAGTGAGATCTGGTGCATTTTGCAACCTTGCGCTACGTGTTACCTGCTCAGCTTCCTCACCCCGCGTGAGGCCTCTGACTTTGCGTCGTGCTGTTTTGATCATCACGAACACGTGCAGCTATCGCTTGTGTTTCTGGCCCTGCAAGTGCTCGCTTCATTCCTGCAGCTTTGCCGTCGTCTTGACCATGCAGGCCGGTGAGCAGGATAATGGACCTAAGCTGGGGGCAGAGCAAGTGCTACAGTCTTCAGGAGAGCAGTTGGCACAGTCTTCTCGAGAGCAGGTGGCACAGTCTTCAAGAGAGCAGGTGGCACAACCTTCAGGTGAGCAGGTGGCACAACCATTGCAGGACCAGAAGCCTGCCTTTCCGCCTGAACCTCCACCAGTGCTGGGACATGCAGGGGCTGTTTTCCCTCCCGATGCCAGTGACTTAGGTGGCAGCTTGTCTTCAGGAAGTTTCAGCCGTGTGAGTGCTATCAACATGTCGGGTTTCGAGTCGGCCCTCGAGCTGTCAATGCTTGAGCCCGAGTTCCCAGAGGATTGGGAGGATGCCTATGTTGTCCCTGGTCTTTCTTCAGAAGTTGAAGCTCAGGGTTCCCTTAACGATAGCCTCGTCAGCGATGAGCGATGCTCGCCAGATCCTTCCTGGGGATCTCACGAGCAGGGGTCTGTCGGGGCCCGTGGCGACGATCTTGCTGTGCCTCTTGGGGAAGGCCGGGAGGTAGGCAGCAGTCGCAGCCGATCGGAACGTGCCGACTTCACTTTGCAGCAAGCACATGCTCACGATGCCTTGGGTTCTTTTGTGGGAAGCTTGGTGAAGGGCGATGTTGCAAGGTATGGGTCGTCGTGCAGCGACCAGAAGCTCCCTTGGGAAAATGATTTCGCTAGGAGGCTTCTTGATCCAGATTGTGAGTGGGATCCCTTGCAAGGGTTTAAGCAAGAATCTGTGATCCCGCCACTGTCCGCTGCTGCACCGTCGGAGAAACCGACGAAAGCCGCGACTAAAGAAGCACAGCCTGGGGCAGTTTTTGCCTGGGCGATTTCTTTGGGTGCAGCTGCTAGGGATCCGGCTGCAGAAAGGGAGCGAAAGCTTGACCAAGGAGTGAGCATGTGGAGCCAACTGGTCGTCAGGTTTTCAGAATTTTGCTCGCTTTATGATTGTGTGGTGGAAGGTATGGAACCGGAGTCGGAAATCTCCTCGTGCGTTTCCTCTGCAGTCGCAGCGGCTGTGGGAGTTAAGTCTCCCCA